TGACAATAATAACAGAGCTAACAGATATGCTAATTATATTAGATATGATATAAATGATAATAGTAATATAAATAATAAAAATATAATAAATATTATATGTGTTCTATTTGGCAGATATGACAGATTTGGCAGATTTGGCAGATTTGACATATATATCATATTTGACAGGTTCATCAATTTTTGCCAGTTTCAACGTCTTGATCGCAGTAAACTGCAGTGATAAATTTTGAGTAGAGACTTGATAATGTGACCACCTCGAATTGAAGAATTCCACAGTAACAACAGGAATACTAATTTAACTTTATCTTTTTTTGAAAAAAAAAATATTTTTCGTTAATGCAAATCATTCAATAAAAAATGTTTCAGAATAGATGAGCTAAATCAAAATGATTTTAGATTAATAATCACGTGCTATATGGTATATGATTATTATTATAATAAGGTTGTTAGGCAAAACCTAAAGGTTTTGACAGGTATTGAAATTAAAACCCATCGAAATGTTTTGCCAAATTTTTTTATTAAAGGTAAAACTATAAAGTTTGGATGAGTAGCAAAAGTTTTAATGGTTAACAAAAGTTTCAACAATTGCTAAAAGTTTCGATAAGTAGCAAAAGTTTCGACAGAGGCAAAAATTTCAACAGATGGCAAAAACCCATCAATATTAAACTACAATTTTTTAACTTTAAAAATTTATTTTATTTTACGAGTAGAGAAAATCATTTATAGCAAAGTCATTTTTTGATTTTATTTATAATATATATTTATTTATAAAAGATAAGAAAAAAACTAAAAATTTACATATTGAAATCAAATATATTTATTTTTTATCAAATCCAATTATATTATTTATCTCACAATTAGTATTTTCTTCATTTAAACTCATGACTGTATCCTTATCTTCTTTATTTATTAAACTTTTATTTGAAAAATTATCATCTTCTTCATAAGAAAATTTTTCTAATTCTTTAACAAAGCTGTACTTCTAAATTTAAAACCTTTTTGATAAATAATATATTATTTTAAAAACTTTGTTCTAATTTAGTAATATATTTGTCTAAAGTTACATTATCCTGTAATTGTAATTCATTATTTTTAGTATCCAATGCAGCTAATCGGACTGTATATGCTGCTCTAGTATTTTCAGATAGAAAATCAGCATTAAGAAAATTAATAATCAGAAGTAGTAATTCTTCATTAATTATTGCTTCATCCATTGCTTCAGTATTTGTTTCTCATAATAATTCTATTACTGATTCTTCTGTCATATCTAATGCAAAATAAAAAAGTTTTTTTTTAGCATTACTATTATAATAAGTGCATAATTTACTTATTGATTCAAGAGTTTTTATATTTAATTGCATTCTCTTCTTTTCTGTTAACCAATTAAGCATTGAAAAGTTTCTTTCACAACTAGCTATTGGGTATTATTGAAAGCATTTTTAATGCAAGTACTTGTAAATAATTTGGGTCTGATTCAATAGTATTTCACTAAGCTAATAGATAATCATGATTAATAGTAAAAGGAAGATAGTAAGAATTTTGTTTTTGTTTATATTTTTGTAAATGAGTAACAAAAATATTAGCATATAATAAAGTTTTTCCCATTTGTTTTCAAATTTCTACTGCAACCTTTAAAATGCGGATAAATTCCATTTTAAAACTTGCACCTAATTAAAATAAATTAAAATAAGTATAAATTAATATTTACATAAAAAAAACTAATATATATATTAAATATAAAAATAATATCTCTAAATTGTGATAATAAAAAATATGATAATATATAAAGATCATCATCATATACTTCTAATCGGCTATTAATAATATCAAAGCAATCTTGTTTAAATGATAAATATTGTTGTAATGGTAATTTTTTAATTGCTGCACTAATTTTTGCTAATCCTAAATAACAATCTCCTAATGTAGTAGAACATGCTTCAAGTAATAAAACTGCTTTAGCTAATGGTGATAAAACAAAATATAAAATTTTTAAATTTGCAAAAAAATCTATTTGAGTAATAATATATACAATCTTCTCATTAGTTAATAATTCAGAATGTTGATTATATATCTAAAAATATATGTATTATTTATTAATTAAAAAATAAATATTATAGTAATTAAAACTTAATAATAAATAAACTACCTCTTTTAATGCATATTCTAAGCGAATTATACTTGCTACATATTTACTTGCAGTTGTCTATCAGGTTTTTGAATAAGTTTTTAAATTACCTCCAATATTATTTGTAGCTATAATTTCACATAATTTGGCATTTAAAAATATATAAATATTAAATATTTAAAAAATAAGTATTAAATATTAAATTAAAAACATATAATATATTTAAAATATACTTACTTGCATGTACAGATTTTTTAAAAAAGGTAACCAAACTATTACAACGACAGATCATTCAATCAGCAAATTCAATTATCAATATATCTTGTGCCATTAGATTAATTGCATATAGCAATGCAACAAATGTCTAATAAATATGGGTATATTTCGATGATTTTTGCTTTAGCTAATTTAACATTATGGCCATTATCACTTACAATAGCTGAGAATTTTTGTGGTTCAACACTTTCTAAAATTTCCTTTATTTTAGTAGCTAAAAAATTTCCAGTATAAGATTCATTTGAAAAATCTGATAGTCGATATACTATAGATATTCCTTTCGTTCAAGTGTAATAATTAAAAAATTCTAATATGAATAGTTTTTACCACTATTCCATCTATTTAAAGCTTTTTAAAATAAAATTATGTTAAAATATATTATATTTTTTTGATTTTTAATAAAACAAAAAATAAATATACTTACATAATGTTAAGTTTTCTTGCTTTCTAAATCTCTATTGATTTTGTTATTAACAATTGACTTTTCTTTTTCCAATAAACATCTAGCAAGATATTCACGAGTTGGTAGTTCATATGCAGAATTAAGTTCTTTTAAAAGATCCCTAAAAAATAGATGTTCAATAATTCGCCAAGATATACCTGCACATGTAAAAGCTTTTACAAATGTGTGTTCAATCTTTTCTACTTTTCCCTTTGGTAATTAACAGGACCCAAAAAGGCATCCATTGTTCCATAGACAGCTTTACTTTTTTATTTTCTTTAGCTATCATCATTAATATTACGATTAGCTATTATATTGTTTAATAATTCTACTCTCAAAATATACTACGCTGTTTTCCATTAAATAAATACATCGATCTACGTCATTTAACTTTCTCGACCCATGCATAAATTTTAACGCGAAGATAAACTGAAACTGATTGTTCAATACTATTCTTAAATGTAATTAAACATATCATAGAAAAATAGAAAAACGTTTGTAGCAAGTAAAATAATGAGAATCTTTCTTAAATAACTATGCAAACTTCTTAATCCTGAATCATTTGAAAGGGATGTTTATTAATTATATCGTCTAAATTTATTTTGGATAAAAATTCTCATTTACAATATTTTTAAATATTTTTTTGCATAAAGATTTACCTGCACAAATGATTTGTCACAAATTATTTACATGCATTGGGTTTAAAAAAAAAAGAAAATAAAAATATTTTCATATAGGCATATATAGAAAATTCAGCTTAAAAAATTTTAAAATTAACACTAAATAAACTGATATTTTGTAGAAATTTTAAAAGTATCTGCTTTAAAATTTTCTTATAGTCAATTTTTGAATGAAAAAAAAATTCGAACATTTGAGCAAAGCGAAGGAACTGATCTATAAAAGATAATTAATTAACATTACGCGATAAATAATTTTTTTTTTATTTACATGAACTTTTTCTTACCTATCAATATGATCTTAGCATTTTTAACATAATTACTAAATGGAAATTTTAAGGGAAAGTAAACCCATTAAAAACTTGATCCCACATAAGATTATTCTCAATAATTTGATGAGGAAGGATTGCGATTCTGATCAAAGTGTCTAGATTATTAATGGATCGAATACGCCTTTAACGATTTCTTCAACGAATTACTCTGTTTGCATTTTGCTGTCTTCATTGATTTTGTCTTCTTTGATACATTTTCGATTTTTTATTATTATTGGGAAATGTTTGATAAAGTGGTTTTAGCAAAAATCTTATTCATTTATAATGTTTTTTCACTTTTTAAGATAACTTTATATGGATATATTGATCATAAATAACAATTTCCGAGAATCTATTCAAGAATTAATTATTTATAAAAAAAAGTCATTTTGATTGAGTAATACAGTATTCTCTCGTAAGCTATCAGCCACTTTTAACCGAAGGTAACCATGGAATTAATGTGATATCTAAAAACGAGTAATTTCTTGAACCATAAAAAAACCATTTACTTAATATGCCATTCCTTTGCCAATTTTTTTATATGAACTGTTATAAGGTTAAAATTGAAAAGATTCAATGGCAAATAACTTTTTAATCAGTCATTTGATTTATAATAAATTTACCAAATGTGTATTTTAAAGTTCAAAGTGTTGATTAGTTCAGCATTAAAAATTATAGTGATACCAGCCGTTGGAGTCTGAGTCGATAACTGAATCAACTATAAAAAAACAATTAGAGTAGCTACACAATTTATAATAATGATGAGTAGTTACTGATATAAATTAAAATTAGATGTGATGCTGGCAGTACAATTTTGATTCCTAGTTAAGATGGGATGGATATTCTGATAATTACAAAGATTTTAATAAAAAAGGCATTAGATATGTATAATATTATTACATCTATTTACAATGTTTTCAACATCTTTCGATAAGATAGAAAGCCTTTTTTATAAGCATTTCAAGGCATGAATTATTGCAGAAACGTTGGGATATTTTTAGATTTCAAATTCGTCAACAGATTATCCATTTTAAATTCGAATATCCGTCATCCGTCGTATAAATAAGATGGATCAGATGGGCATTTTATTGACGGATCAGATCATCCGTCAATTCCAATCAGTTTAAATAGATAAATAGTTTTTAGAAATTTTTTTTAAACCTTTTTTTTTGTAACACAGTAATAAAACAATAAGGGAACAGTGGCTTATACCGCCGTTAAACTTATCTCAGTTTTTTTTTGTATTTCTTTTTTTATGAATGACATTAAATCAAAGAAACGGTAACGACATGATGGGAATGATGTCATTAGAAAATTTTCCTTTTTTCTAGTTTCTAGAAACAGAATTGACTGTTCCTTTTTTTATTAGAAATAGTTTTTGTTAGGTTAAAACGATTTAGGTAGGTTTTTGTTTTTTTAAGATTTTTTTTCTTTTAGGAAAGGCATTAACATTCCTAACATTTTTTAGAATGGTTCTTCAGCTTAACGGCTTAGGCTTTTGGAATGATCTTAGGTAAGTGTTGGAGAGATTTCATGTTCTTTTAAGTTCGTTTTTTCTTCTCTTTTTTTAGAATTAAGTTTAGCTTGGGCGAATTTAAGTGTCAGAGGACAGAGAATTTTCTTAGAATGGAATTAACCATTCTTTTTTTCTTTTTTAAGAATGGATTCGGTCAAACGATTATAGGTAAATATCAGAGGACTCTGTTAATTTTTCTTTCTTTCTAGGAACGGCATTATCTGTTACTTCTTACTTTTTTTTTAGGAGTAGGTTAGGCTTATGCTTCTTAAAATGACCTTAGGTAAGTTTTATTAGGGGTGCCATTGAAAATTTTCTTTTTTTAAAAGTTCTTTCATTTTAAAAATGATTAATGATATTAATTACTCTTACCTTTTAGAACTTGCTTTATTAAATCAAATATAATAGATTACTTTGATTATAAATAATATATAAAGAAAATTGAACTATTTTATTTAAGAATAAAGATCATATTATTAAAAGATACAATAAATAATCTTTATTGTCATAACTATTGCATGATATTTTGGTATTATTTTTAACAAGAAAAGTTCATACTTTAGATTATGTGAACTATCTTATAAATAATACAAAATTGATTAAAATACTTTTAGCAAATTGAATATATAATTACCTAATAAACTAAAAGTTCTAATAATGTATTATTACTTAATAATAATAAAACTGATTTTATTAAAACACAGCTAAAAAAACTAGCTGGATTTGAACTTATAAGCATAAAAAATACAAGAAATAAAATACATATTATGTCAAATAATAGTCTATAAAATTATTGATATTTTTAATCAAACACAATGTAGAAAAACATATATTAAAGTAATAGATCTATTAATAATATAATAAATC